CAAAGAGGCACAGATGGAGTCATCACTTGCCCACTCATTTAAGCATCTGTTTCAAACAAATTTACAGCAATGAAAAATAGTAGGGGAAGGGCCCCTAAATATCACGTGTAAAGAAAGAAAAATATCAAAAGTGCTTTAAAATGCAAGGTCAAAACAGGTTTGACAGTCAGGAATTAAATGCAAATAATCTTTGGAGTAGATCCACAATTCTACAAATAAAATCTTATTAAATGAATGCACTGTACATATGCAATAGGGTTCTTCAGAAAGTGGAGAGATGTAAAAGACTGCATTTCTAAACCAATCATTATTACTTATATTCAAATTAAGTATTTGAAATGCCCAAAACTTACAGGAATTGTGGTAGATATTTTAATACTTCTTTCCTTCCAAAAAGTGAAAGCAAGATACATTCCAGAATTATACAAACAACTCTATTTTCATATTCAAAAGAAAAATATGATATTATGACTCATAATCTTGTTAATTAATGACTGAAAAAGAACTATAAAGTTTTGACAATGTTGCCTTTCTGCTCTCAGTAATTTTGTTGTCTCATTTTGGCTATCTAATGAAATAAAGCAAATTGGATATTAAGCCAGTTTCATACATTATATTTAACATACTCAACCATTACCATGAAACTGTGAATTATTATATTCTGACATTGATAATTTTTGAGTACTATTTTTTTGTCTTTTTATCCAGTGTTGTTTCCATCATTATATAAATTACTATTTCTTGGTTTATTGCTATACCTCTTTATTCCCTTCAGATACAGGGAGAAAAAAAGATTCCCTAATTTTCAGAGATTTCTCCTATTATATATACTGAATATAATATTGCTTTAAGAATCTTTATTTTACTATTTTCAACCTATGTTTCAGAAGGCTGAAAACAAATGTACTCTATTTAATCTATTCTATGTTGCTCCATTTCTAAATAATAAGTACCACTTTCAAGGCAAAAAAAACCCAACAATAATAAGATGCAATATTTTCAAAATAATCATCTAATCATTTACGATAATAAGTATTTTTCTGTCCAGAAGAAGAAAATGTTTGTTAAATCTAAGAATATTATATCAATGAGTATACTGTCAGAGATCAAAATTAAAAATCAGCCTGTACCTCAGGCTTTTGGCTAATAAGAGCGGGTATGCAGTAAAGAAAATGAAATCAGTCTCTGGAGTCTATCTTCTGTGGATTGTCACTGGTGTTGACTAGGGAGAAGGCTATGTACAATTTCCAGGATATAAATAATGTATGTATCTGCCAGATGACCAGAGAAAAGACAGGGATTTAAAGTATGGGAAGGATCCTTCCATCTCAAAAGAGCTAAGTCCCTGTACATGGAGAACATGACAATAACTTCAGAAGTCTTACCAACCCCCCAAAAAACCTATAATTACAAAAAACAATTTATATAAATTATGAAATAAAGGCTAAGTCCTCCTTTTGAACATTTGTTTTAAAAAAAGTTTCCAAGAAGCCAGCTGGAGTTAAGAACACATTCATAAAGAAATTTAAAAACTATATTTGAAGGTCTCTAGGCATATCAATCATCTTGTTTGCTGATAACAAAAGTAGAAATGTTAAACCACACTACATCAAAGGAGATTGTTTTCTTTCAAATGAAAAATATAAATTCAGTTTTCCGGCTTGTTTTTCATTTTAATTAATATAAACCACATCAACAGATTCAACTTGCAGTTTCTGTCAGTTTGGGTCTTTATCATTTAAACAACACACAACCACATATCTCCCAGGGCTCCAAATGAGAGATAAAAATAAACAAGGTCTTTCATAACATATTTTAAATTATTCTTAGTATAAAATTAACCCAAATAAAAAAAATTTACCTTGATAAGATGAAGTCTTTTTTAAAAAACTCTCAAATTAATTTTTCTTTTTCTTTTTTAACCTTCTTAACTGAATTTCTACTTTTTTTCTGAGAGGTATTTTGTTCTCCACTAGTCACACAGAATTATCACCAATTTTCTATTTTTTGTTCCTAAGGAAGCAGAGCACTGGGAGAGATATTTTACTTATTTACTTTCAAAATGTACTGGCAGGTTGCAGGTTTTAAATACCTTTTTTTTTTTTTTTTGGTACCGGGGATTAAATTCGGGTCCTTGCACTTGCAAGGCAGGCCACCAAACAGCTGAGCTAAATCCCCAGCCCCTTAAATACCTATTTTGAAAAGACAACATATTACTTTTTTTAAGTCTCTCAAATTTTATTATTACCTTCACACAAAATCTCACAAATTGCTATTAAAAATAAACAATAATATTCTAAAACTACCTAAATCCAATGAGTTTGATAAAAAATTATTCCCAAGTAAAACTACATTTAAGTAGTGACAGAGTACAATAATATGAAGTTCATTATCTTTTTTAAAAAGCTATGCATAATTATAAACTGACATTATAGAACTATACCCTCATCCATGAATTATTTATTGCTCTTTGAAGGAAAAAACACCTGTTCATTTAATACCTAAACTAAAATTGAAACTGGCTTTCTCACTGGTGAACATACTCCATATCATTTATTGAGTGTCTTCTATGAACTAAGAAATATGTTGAATTTTTTAGATACAGCATATCTTTTAAACTTCTGAATTTAAGAGTTGCAACTTAAATCTAGACCTGATGCCAAAACTTATGGTTTTTCCATTTTGTCATACTGCCTTTTACAAGTCAAACCTTCACAAAATCTTTACATTCCTAGAATAGATCGACACAATTTTTTTGTTGCTTAGGTTTTGATTATCCTTATGGAATCAGCTAAAAAGACTTAAGTAAAAACTGGTGAGAATAATTTTACAAGAGACTATAGAATAAAGGTGGACATTATACAGTAATTCATTTAGCAAACTAGAACACAGAAACAAACCTGAGATGTCCTGGCTAAAACTGATAAACCAAGGAAATCCTGCAGTTAATCTAAAAATAATGTGTGCAAACTCTTCATATCTAATTTAAGTACTAGAGACTTGCTTCTTTGAAATATCATATAACACACTCTTTATATCTACTGATCTTTGTAGCCTGTGTTTTTCCTGATCAAAATCATAGGCACTTATAACAAAGAATATTTCTTATTACCTATTATCCCTAATATTTAATTGACAGGAGGCTCTCAAAAACAAAGCTAAACAAAAAGCTGAAGAAATTAAATACTGTATAGGAAGAATAAACAAATGTCCTTTAGTTTTATTTTCTATTAATTTAATTTTGAAATAATTATATATTCAAAGCAAGTTTCAAAATATAGCAGAGATGTCCTCCTGCATCCTTTATTGAGTGTCCTCAAACGATAACATCTGACATAATTATAGTACAAAACCAGGAAAGTGACATTGTACAATCCACAGATCTTATTCAGATTTTTCCTTTAGTTGCTTTTTAAGTTACAGCTTTTCCTGGTGCTAGAAATGGCCTCTTCACTTTTTAGATGAGAAAACAAGGGGTTGAAGGATTACACAAAGTCAGAACATTAAAAAGTAGCAAAAAAGGGACCGGGGATTTAGCTCAGTGGTTCTGCCATCTGCCCCGCATGCGCAAGGTCCCGAGTTCAATCCCTAGTACCAAAAAGAAAAAAAAAAAAAAAAAAAAAAAAAAAAAAAAAAAAAAACAAAAATTCTTCAGATATAGAAAATGAATCTGGATTAAAGTTATTCACTAGAATTCCATGAGAAATTCAGTAAGGATCTTTCAAATTATTTTATTTCAAATTTATCTCATGAGATGGATGCATATTTTTTCACATTATCACTTTTCATCTCTCCAGAAGCCCCAAAGCTTTCATTAAAAAAATGTATCCCCTATTGATCAGTTGAAAAATACTAAAAAGTTTTACTGCATTAGTAATACAGTAAGCCAAACTCAAAAAGCAGCAGGCTACTTTGCTACTCTGAACTCAGTGCAGGCTTATAAACACTAAATGAATGAGTGAACAAATGAATAAATAAACACACAACTTAAGTGGAGTGACCATATATACAAAACATTCCACATTTCCTAAAAGAAAAAAAGAAAGAAAAAGAAATCTCTTCTTTTTAAACAGAAATGTGTGAAGAAAAATGTTTTATTTTCTGAGTAATTTTCAGAAAAGCAGAGCAACATCCCTGAGAGAACATCTAGTCTGGCTCAACCTGGCTACGTGTCAGCATCTCCTGAGACATTAAAAAAGAACATGCTATGTCTCATTTCTCTGAGCACATGCACTCTACTCTTAAGTGCATCTTAAAATGTCTGCCTAATAATCCCTTCCTGTGCCCCTTAAAAACAACTTAAAATTTTTAAAAAAGAACATATCAAACCCCTACTCCATCTTACAAGGACAGTGGAGCTCTGTACTTTATGTTTAAAACTCACAAGTGAACTAAAATAAATAAATAATAACAACAGCCAAATAAAAACTCACAGGTAATTATCAATCCCTTAACATAAAAATGGCCTGGTCAAACTGAATGTCTTATTCAAGGTAACACAGCTAGTCAGTAAAACAGAATTGAAATCCAAGAAAGAAAAGTACTGTTTTTTAAAACATAATATATAGAAAAATTTTGAAATTATGAAATTTATTTTAATTGTGCAGTTGTTAGCCATTTTTAAAATTTGAAACTAGGCAAAGAAAATCAGCATTTAAACTCTTCTGGTATGCAATCACTATCATAACAATAGGCAGACACATATATTTAGGCAGTGAGAATATTTTCTCACTGGGATATTTAAAAAATGAAATGTATGTTTCATATCTTTTAAGTCCCACTTCTAGCATAGCAATTAGCACACTTGGTAGCACTCTTAATTGGTATCAGGAGTTTACTTGAGATGTCCACCAAATATTTTTAAGCAAAAATTCATATGTAAAATTAATGAAACTTAGATACAAAATATGACCCCACAATATTTGTTACATTGCTCATCAGATTAAACAAAAATATTTTAACTATTCACTAAATTAGAATAGTTTAATTTCTCAACTCACCTTTAATGGAATCATTTTCAGCTCTCATTATGTCAATGAGGGAACTCTCCAATGAGTGCATGTCAAATGTCCTGGGGCGATCCTGTAAACACAAACAGGCCATAAAGCACTTTTTAAAATAGCATTTATGGGGAAAAAAAAAAAAAGAAGAAGAAGGAAAATGAGCTATATGTGATGAGACACAGACCAAAAAAGTATCAAATTTACTCCAATATCAGGCACGTTTGTTATTTCTAAATACTCTTTACACTTTCAAAATATCAAAAAACACAAAGTACTCTGAACTCAGTAGTGATTTGATTTCAAAACATTAATTTCAACAAAAGCATCACTTTCATTAATATAGCATAAACCATCAAACTAATCTCCACATTAAGGAACATTAAGTAAAGGTAAAAATATTCTTAACTTCTCCACCACTTAAGATTGCAATAATGAGGCAAAGCTTTCCAAGCTTGTTCCAGTAGTTATAAACTAAACTGGCATCTATATGTGCTACTCAGAATAGCTATATTTTATTAACCAAGGTGTGAAAATAGTCATCAATTGTTTGTTAGTCCATTAAATGGTAAAGTACTCCAAAATAAATATCAGTGGGCATCGTGAAAAAAACAAATTATCCCTTTAATGAAAGAAAATAAAAATGAATGCTACATCTGTCTCCTTAATAAAGGCCATCCTTGAGTGATAATGATTTGCTTTCTCTAAAGACCTGTTTGTTTTTTTTTTGTACCGGTGATCAATCTTGGGCCCTGTGCTTGTGAGGCAGACAGCAGAACCACTGAGCCAAACACCCGGCTCTAAAGACTTCATAACCTTATATCCTATATTCAAAGTAGAAAAAAGCTTTCCCTATAATCACTACACATACAAAAAATACATAAGAATATTTTTGATACAATCTTTCCTCCCCCAATATAAAACTAAATCTGAAATAATGAGGCACTCAATACTGTGACAAAATTTTCTCTAAGGAGGAGAATGAGACCAGCAATAGAGAACTAACACGGGATGTTCTGTCCTTCCCTACTCCCCAGTGTGAAAAGTTACTAGGTCTCCAAACCACAGTCATTACTTGCCATAAAGGATAGAAAAACACCAATCAGAGTTAGCATCTGGATGAGATAACCAAAAACCACCTCGGATTCTTACTTAGTATCTCAACTTACAAAGTTAGGCTTGATTTTGCTGCCATTAAAGTTAATAGAAGAAAGAATATGGAGAATGAGAATGTTGCTACTCTAAAAGTGTGGTTTAAGGAAGGGCATTTCAAGAGTGGGCAAGGAATCCTAAAATATACAATGTCCCAACTGTTCTGGCATTTCTTGGGATGAAGAGTACTACAGATAACTAAAATTAAAGTTTGGTTTGGTGAGTCAAAAGTGGGGGGTGAAAACATTTTTAAACTCTGAGAGGAAGTAGTGACACCATGACCATCACAACAACAATATTAAAGAAAAAAGGTCTTCCAAAGGAATCTGACAAGTAGTATTCTATAACCTTTCTTCAGTTATATTTCCTCTTGCACTGGTTATTTTCTTTCTTTCTTTTTTTTCTTTAACTTTTGGTGCTGATGAGTCAACCCAGGGCTACTCATGATAACTACACTGTACCACTGTGCTACACTCATGGCGCTGTCATATGACACTTTGAATAGCAAGGCCTCCCCTAAATGAAGATTCCTCCTGGCTCCATCCCCCATCCCAATACATAGATGAATATCCATTAATTTTCACCAAATGAATTGTTTCATAATACAAACTTGATTTCTGTAGCTCAGTGTCCATCTGCAATTGTATTTGGATATAATCCAGTATTAGAAATAAGAGTTTTGCAGGTTTTTTCTCCCAGAGATGAGAGGGTAGGGATGGGGAGGGGTGAGGATGGAGGAGGCAGGTTAACAGGCTATTCTGCTCTAGAGAGATATGACTCACTCTCGAATATCTTTCCCAACTTTTCCTCCTTATGCATTCCTCTTTGTCTTCTCTTCCTCAATATGGTCCACAGAGAAGCAGGAAGGAATATGGCTAGAATCAGAAATCCTAAAGGTCTGTGTTCTCTTTCTATACTTCATGTCAAAATCTGAATTAAACCAAACTCCTTACTGCATTTTCTTTTGGAAATGAAATGGATCTCAGGAATAACAAAGTTTCACTACCTCACCTTATAGTAGCTGGATTTGTCCATCTTTCAGCAGTCTACAAACCACACCTCTAACTGGGCCATCACCATATCCATCACCAATATCCACAAGTCCTGGAGGTCAGAATCCCCAGTTACTGCTCACCTGGCTGTGAGCTTCCCAAGGGCAGGAACTACTTTACAACAAAGGTTTTCCGGTGTTTACCTCACAGGTGACACTGTTCCAAGACAGTCATCACTTTAGCCCACAGGACAGCCCAATTCTGAGATGGCAGCACTCCCTGGAAGATGATCTTTCTTTAAATATTATCATTTTCTATGTATACCACATTGTGAAATGGGTTTAAGAAGCACTGTCCCACATTTCTGTGTTACTGTGCCTCAAGCACATCCTAATGAGTAAAAATCCCACAAGTGTTTGTTAAATCAATAAATGGATGAATTCCTTCAAGTAACTTTTAAATGTTTAAAAATTATCTTTTACTTTCTGAAGGTTTGTTTATATATTTCCCTTTTCCTACTATAGAGCTGTAAATTTTCTTTTGCCAAAACAAATAATGGGAGTAGAAGGAAGAACCAGGTCTATTATTCTTTTTTCATGAAACTAAAGCAGTGCATAACCTTGTGAATTCAAGAACTTGCATTTTGCCAATCACAGAATGAACAGAACAGCAAAGCAGTTGATAAATATAACATGGTGTGATTGGAGGAGGGGTTCTTTTATAAGAGCTGTTTTCAATAAGTCAAGAAGCCCTATAAGTTTCTTAATGGGGTCCTAGAATTTAGTAAATCACTACATAGCTCCTCCCACTCCAAGTATATTTCCTGGGACATAAAGATATTTGCTAAATTTAATAACCACTGACTTCTAACTGGCAAGGTACATTAAAACTAAAATCCTAAATGAAATTTTAAAATTTCAGCAACATTTTGTGGGTTTTAAAAATACCCCTTCTTTTTTACACTGATACTATTTTTTCAACTTGTTATGGTTTAATTACAGAGGTGACTGGTAAATATCAATATACAAACTTTGATAAAATGGTAGTGACTATCAGAAATAATGTGTTGAGAAGGATTCTTAGACCTATATGAATTCAAAACAATGCCTTAGAAGATAGCTGGTGATCATATTAAATCCAAGTATCACAACTCCAGTACATGAAGTCTTCTCCAAAACCGAAGAGTATTACAAATTATACTTACTATAAACTGTTTGTAAAAATAATTTCTTACGATGCTTTGATAATTCTAAAAATTCAAAAGCCACATATTTTGCCAAGTAAACATTTTGTTCTCCAAGAGTATCCAAAGTTTATCATTTTTGATTTACAATATACTGACTTTTTATATTTTAACATGTAACAAAAAAATTTTTAATTCTAAAAATTTTTTTTAAAGCTTTACATCCCAGGCTACAAGACACTGTGTCATCAGATAGAGAGACAGAAATACATAGATAAGCCCAATGTAAAGGAACAGCACAAACAATACCAGTTTTCCTCTGTAATGACCAAAGAGTTAAATAAAAGGAAGAAGAGTGCTTTGATTTCCATATTTCATTCCTTGATTTTGCCTCTTTAAATTCCTAACTGGATTAAATGCAATTACTAATCTATTTTCTAGGATACATTTCCCAGAAAGTAAAGTCGCTGTAAAACAAAAAAATCTGTTAAGATGACAGGTCTTTGGGATCAAATGTGAACAATATAAACAAACATAAATGAGTATAATGATATTAGATACTAAAAGCCTCAGCTGTTGGAGCACATTTGTCCTCTACAACTCTTTCCTGATCCATAAAATGAAGGGGCTTGATTAGATCTCTAGCATATCATTCTAAGCTACAAAATAGGGTTTGTTTTTTTTTTCCTTGTAGTGCTAGAAATCAAACCCAAGGCCTTCTGCATGCTAGGCAAGCCCTCCATCGCCAGGCTACACTCCAGCCTATTTTTGTATTTTAACTTTGCAATATCCTAAGATGTCTGTGTTCTTCTGTGATACCCTGTTTACAAATTATAAGGACAGTTATGGCAGGAACCAAAAATGTGGATGAAAATGACTAGTCAAAGTTCATCACTTTTTATCCACAAAAAGGTAGGGGTAAACAATAGATTAGTTAGCAAATGAACCCTTACAGAGTCTTCCTTCCCACCTTCGTGCTGGGACTTGAACCAATGGCTTCACATATGCTAAGCACATTCTATACCAATGGTGGCAAACCTATGGCATGCATGCCATAGCCGGCGGTTTGCTATTACTGAAATCTCTAAAAGGTTCACCATCACTATTCTATACTATTGAGTTACCTTCTCAGCCTCTTTAGAGTCTTAACATTTTCATTGTGCTACACATAATACAAAGTAATATGCTTTTCAAAAAAAATAATTATGTAAACAATTTGTTGGAGGAAAGAAAAGAGTCTTTATTTCTGATAAAAGACGAAAGAATCTCTTATAAAACCAAAAACAACAACTCCACTTGCTTCAACTCATCTTTGCCAGTTTTTCATGACTGCCTAAAGGGAAAAAAGGTAGAAATATACAATTTTCCTTTATTGAGCACAAATAAGTACATGACATTAGTCTAGGTATTTTGTTAATATTGTCTTAATTAATCCTCAAATCTCCTAGATTGTCTTATTCTTATTTTAATAATAAAAGTTGAGACTAAAGATAATTTACACAGTTTACTGTCTGTATAGAGAGGTTACTGCAGAGTTCAGCATCAGAACAAGGATTCAAGCCCACATGTCTCTCCACAGTTAGTGATGCTTCCTTACAGAAAGTAATGGTCATAGCAGTCAAAAGAGAATGCTCCTTAAGATATATATTTGAATTAAAGAGACACTCTGCATTAAAGGCACTGAGAACATTAACATGCGGCAAGTGCCTGACAATCAAATATTACTTAATAAAGGTGACAGAAGATCATATCTGA